AATAAGACAGCACACACACAGAAAAAAGGGGTAAGTAAACGAAAACCTACCTACCTACGTGCTGCCTAGGGCCTGGAGGGCCGCCGTGGGCCTTTGCGTGCTAGATAGTACGTGGCCTGGGGGGCCCTCAGCAACCGTCGGGCCCCTCAAATGGGGCCCGTGTGCAGGCTCAGCATGCAACACCCCCCCCTCCTTATGAAGTCAAGTCGGTCGGGGGCGAAGCTGACGATCTGAAGGCGGTACTTGGACGCATGTGCGTCGTGGAGCTGAAGATGCCGGCTTGCCTTTCAACTTTTGTTCGTAGCGTGCGAGAGCATCGGGCGCTGTTGCCTGAAGTTCCGCACGAGTCAGCCATCGGTCAGCTCTATGGGTGCAATATGCGAAGTGGACCAAAAATTCAGTCGGCCTGTTGCCGTAACGTCGCTGGGATATGATGTCGCCAACCTCTTGGAAACCGTCCATCGAGGGTGGGTCTTGCGATCGTCGCCCGGGAAAGTCGTCAAGTTCCGCTGGCGTGTAGAGGGCCAACTTGGAATAGTGAAAGACCGGGTTGACGGGCAAGTGGGCGGGCACCTTAATGATGAATGAAGGTCCTTCGGGTGCATCCCCAACGGGTGCCTCGATCGGCCAGGGCCCCATCCATTTCAGAAGGAGCTTGTGAGAGATGTCTTGTTCGAGGCTGAATTCTGCAGCGGAAACCCATATGAGGTCGCCGGCGCGGAATGGACAAGGAAGACGCTGGCGGTTGGCCTGTTGGCTCATACGTTGCTGTGTCTTCGACATCTGGTCGCGTGCCTTGACAAGAAGCTTGTGCATCCGACGAATGAAGAGAAGGTGGTTGTCGCTCTCGGTCGTCCGTGGCATGATTGTGTCCAGTGGAGAGTTGACCGGCGAGCCATGCTCAAACTGAAACGGCGACATCCTGATGGCCGGATGGATGGACGAGTTGTAAGCCAACTCGACATCCGGCAGCCGCTCGACCCAATCCTTTTGGTCGGGACGGATGACAGCTCGAAGGAGGACCTGTGCGGTCTGATGTGCCCTCTCCGTTTGGCCATCGGTTTGGGGGTGGCGAGCCGAACTTGGTTTGAGGGATGAGCCCCATCGTTTGATGAGCGCCAACCAAAATCGGACATGAACCGAATGTCACGGTCGCAGACGATCTCCTTGGGGTAACACTTGGTTCGAATCCAACCGGCGTAGAGAACCTCGACCAACTCCGGTGCCTTGGCGTGATAGCGGCAAGGCAAGAACATGGCAAAATTGGTGAGGCGGTCAACCACCGTGAGAATCCCATCGACGCCCGTCTTATGCTTGGGGAACGGCCCGGTGATATCCATGGCAATCGCTTCCCTTCGGCGCAAGGGGACCGACAATGGTCGCAGTTCGCCGTAAGGACGATGATTGCGAGGTTTGCAACGTCGGCAAACTTCGCATGACTCGCAATAGCGGGTGACGTCGTCGAGGAGACCGGGCCACCAAAAGCGCTCGCGTAGTCGGCCAATCGTGCGATTGACTCCAAAGTGTCCAGTGGCGAGGGCGTCGTGGAACTCGCCAAGAAGCCGGGTGCGCAAATGTGAATCTTGCGGCACACAAAGAAGATCCTTCCCCCACGAGTGAAGAAGCAAGTATCCCTCTTGTATCCGATAGTGCGAAGGCGCCGGATTGGGAGAGGAACAGTTTGCGTACTTGTCGCGAAACTCGGGGTCGGCTTGATAGCCGCGGATGAAGCTGTCCCGCAAGTCGTCCTCGATCTCGAAGGTTGAGTAGACCGCGGTGCAGTGGTCCGGACGCCGTGAAAGTGCATCCGCAAAGCGGTTCGACTTCCCCGGAATGTGGTCGGGAAAGAAGTCGAATTGGTCGATGAAGGTCATCCAACGGGCAATGGTGTTGTTGACAGTGTCTTGCGATTTGTAGAACACCAACGGATTGTTGTCCGTTACCCATCGGAACTGGCGTCGACCGAGGAGGAAGTGCCGCCATCACTTGAGTGCGTGGATGAAGGCGAGAAGTTTCTTCTTGCGTGCATTGTCGATGGAGTGCACGACGGACACTTTCTTGCTGAAATATTCGACCGGGTGCCAATCCACGCCGTCATGTTGCTCGAGGACGGCACCAATGCCATACCCGGATGCGTCCGTGGTGACGCGCGTTGGCAATAGCGGGTCGTATATCCGCAATACCTCCGTGAAAAGCAATGCGGCCTTGAGGGCCAAGAATGATTCTCGCGCGTCCGTCCCGAAGTCAAACGGTCGGTCCTCGCATTGAAGCTTGGTTAAGTGAGCCGCGATCTTCGAGTAGCCTTTGATGAAGCGTTGGTAGTAGCCGGCGAGGCCAAGGAATGAGCGGACATCCGTGACGTTCCGTGGCTCCCGCCAATCTTGGACGACTTGAATCTTGTCCGACAACGGACTGATGCCCTGTGGAGTGACGAAGTGGCCAACTCTTGACGCACGAACTCGCACTTGTCGCGGTTGGCTTTGAACTTGGCGCGCCGGACTGTCTCCGACACTCGTCGAAGATGGTCAAGATGTTCCTCCAAGGTCCGGCTATAGACGAGGATGTCGTCCAAGTAGACCAGCACGAACCGGTCCAACATTTCTCGGAACTCGTTGGCCATCGCCGCTTGAAAAGTCGTCGGGGCGTTGGTGAGTCCAAAAGGCATAACAACTTACTTGAAGTGCCCGTACCGTGTCTTGAACGCGGTCTTGTAGCGATCTTGCGGCCGAATCAAGATCTGATGATATCCTGACTTCAAATCCAGCTTAGAAAAGAATTTTGCGCCGCCCAAGCGCTCCAGAAGGTCGTCAATACGAGGAAGAGGTCCCGCGTTCTTGACTGTTTGCGCATTGAGCTTGCGGCAATCGATGCATAGGCGAAGGTCCTTGTTCTTCTTCCGAACGAAGAGAACTGGCGCACCATAGGGTGAGCTACTAGGCCGGATCCAACCTTTGTCCAACAAGTCGTCGAGCTGCGCGCGGAGTACTGTAAGTTCCTCCTCGCTCATGCGGTAAATGCAACCTTTTGGCGGCACGGCACCGGCCTCGAGAATGATCTCGTGAGAGATTGGCCGATCCGGCACCACGCCGGTAGGTGACTCGAAGACGTCGGCAAATTCGTCGAGCAACCGCACCACCCGGGGGTCTGAAGACAAGTCTGTAGGTTGAGAGTCGGCTACTGCGACGGTTTGAAGAAAACATAAGTCGATCTCCTCGGTCCGCTCGTAAGCACAAGTGGCCCGAAAAGACTTGGCGGTTACAACTTGGCACCGGATCGAAGGGTGCGGAGGAGGAATCGTACATGGTACTTCGGCGCCGAACGCGTCGTGAACCGTAAGTGTCCGCCGGTGGAAGTTGACCGTGTGATCCGCACTTGCAAGCCAAGGCATGCCCAAAATGATGTCGAAGTCTGTGTCCAAGACGTCAAACGTCACCGGTTCGCATGCATGAGGTGCGAAATAAACCGGGACGGCTTCGATGTAGCGATCAAGGAGTTGTTGCATTCTACCGTCCGCCAACTTGATCGACGTAGGGTGTGCCTTCCTTCGAACTTGTGGTCCAAGGCCGGCCCTTTGCATGAAGGACTGGCTAATGAAGTTGCGAGTCGCGCCGCTATCCAGCAAAGCGCTGCAGGACGCTTGCTTGATTTGGATGCGGACATAAAGGAGCGGTGCGTTGTTGTCGTCATACCATTGCGTGCGAAACTCGCGGGCCACCTTGCTTACATATGCAAGAATGTCCCCCACCGCGAACTCGTCCTCCGTAGGCGAAGTTGGTGGTGCATAGAAGGCTAGGTATATATGTAAATGGGCGTGAAGAGCTGCGCATTGCGGCTCCGGTAAGCAGTCGGTGGAAGGGAGAGGAAGCCATGCAAAATCCTCGGGCGTCAACGGGTCCAAGTCCTCAATGTTGAACGCGCGCGTCGAATCCCGTGAAGGTCCACTTGAAGACGAATCAATGTTGGTGCTTCCGATCGGAGAAGAGACCGCACATACATCCTGTCCTTGGGCTCGTGAATCCAGCGAAGGTACGAGCCGGGCAGCATAGTCCTCGAAAGAATGAAGAATTGGAGGACTTATGACGTCCGCATATGCCCCGGAACCGAGGGAGGTTACCCGATCGGCAACCGGTTTCGAAGGCGTCGAGAGTGCAGTCGCAACACTCTCGGCGGTGCTCACTTTCCCGACTGAGCGGGGCCCTTGGCTTTCGTGGGGCAGTTCGCGGTCTCATGGGCCGCGCAATTGCACCACAAACAATAACGGTACGTGGTGCGGACGCGATACCCGCGCTCCGTCAGGCCGTACGCTGTCCAAGGTCCTTGAGCTGGAGCTGCTTGTCGGGGCCCAGAAGAAGTATTGGTGTTGGTCGTCGGCTTGCCACGTCCTCGTCCTTTGGCGGGGCGGCCACCATTATGGGCAGCTGCGAGTCTGTCTCCCTCGTCAGACGAAACAACCTCGCTTGAAGTAGAAGGGTCGCTAGTCGTTGCCGCTGCGACCACGACCACTTTAGGCCGATGCTGGTGCGTGCCCTGACCGACATTTGACGAAGGGCTCGTATTCCGGGCTGCCAAGTTCGTCACAATGATCTGCGCGGCCTTGTTGAAGAGTTCCTCACTTGTAGTGAGGGTGTCGGCGACATGAGTCAACGCATTCTGCAACGCCGGGCACAACCTCTTGATGAAATAGAGCTTGATGCCGTCGAAGTTCAGCGGCAGCTTGGGCGTGCTTGCGAGGCGTTGGAACTCAGAAATCCAGTCTCCGCTTGGCATGCTGTTCTGCAAAAATGTCAGCAGCTTGTCCATCGCCTTGTGCTCGGGCGGTTCTACTTGGAAGCGCTTCTTCCATGCCTCTGTGAGATCCGCCCAGGTGATGTACTTGTGCAACTCGGTGACTGTACATGCATGGGCGGACAGCATGTTGTCCAACCATGCCTGGCATGCGCCTCCCGAGCGGGAGTACAAATATGCATGCCGATTCTCATTGGCGACGTGGTGGAGGTCCAGCTTGAGTTCGAACTGGCGCCACCATTGTATGGGGTCCGTCTTCGATGCATCACAGAAGATCAGGAGCCCGTCAAACGTGACAATGGTCTTGCGTGGCGCCGTGCTGGAGCTGGCTGCGGCGCAGACGTGCTGTTGCACCCCGGCCTTGAGTGTCCCCACGTCTATCTCCAAGACGTTGACGCGGTCGGCGAGGTCGGAGGGGCCGGCGCTGACATTGGCGTTAGCGACCCGCTGCTCCAGTTGTTGAACGCGCTTGAGCGTCTGGTCCAGCGACTGCTGTAACACCTTGTTGGTGTGGTCGAGAGAGTAGATATCCTCCTGTTGTGCGATGCAAGTCGCGAGGAGGTCCGTGACACGGTTGAGCAACTGAGATACTCTGCACCTGACGTCAACGGGATCGCCGTTCTCGGCCTCCTTCTTCCAATCCTTGGCCTGTGCGTGTAATGCACTTTCCTCCCTGAATATGATCTCGCGTTGCCGTACGCGTTCTTCATCAGCTGCCTTGGCTGCTGCTGCCGCATGCTTCTGTCGCTGTTCTTCCGCCAGAAGACGCTGTTTCTCTGCCTCTGCTTCTTTCTTCTTCTGTGCTGCTGCTGCTGCGTCTGCCCGTTGCTTGCCTTCGACTATGAGGGCCGCCAATCGTTCCTCGTAGGCCTCGTCAGTCTCGCCTGCCTTCTGATCCATCGCTGCTGTCTGCGAGAGAGTAAGTATGGTCATGCGTGGCGGGTCCCTGACGTGGCCTGCTGAAATGAGGACTTACCTGGCCTGCAACTGCAGGTGAATGGGCAGGTAAGGAGGACGAAGATGGGACGAAGGGTTGGGGTGGAGAGAAAGGGGATGGGCAATCAAGATGGGTCGCCCTGATATGGAGCCACTAATCAAGAAAAAAAATTGGAACTTGCAGGACCTGGAAAAAAATTCGGATGTGCAAGCTCGGTAGGCCCCCCAAGTATCCCCTCAGCAATCAATTTGAACGAAAAAAATTTCGAAATTTAGGCTGCCAATGAATCAAAGTGTCAAATGGAGTTAACGGAAACGCTGAACTTGCGAAAAACATACGATTCCACAAGCCCAGGAAATTCCAAAAAAATTCGGAATATGTTAAGTGAGAGTATACACAGTTTGAAAACAAGCATTGGTGAGAGGAGTTTCCCGGAAAGCAATGTCCGAAATATGAAGAATAATTTCCGAAAAATAAGGAATTTCGAAATTGAAAAACGAATTTCAGGAATTTTCGGAATTGAAAAACAAATTCCAGAAAATTTCGAAGTTGAAAAACGAATTTCAGAAATAATTTCGGAATTTGAAAAACGAATTTCAGAAATAATTTTTGAAATTGAAAATCGAATTTTCAGAAAATTTTCGAAGTTGAAAAACGAGTTTCAGAAAAATTTCGAATTTCAGAAATAATTTCGAAGTAAAAAACGAATTTCAGAAATAATTTTCGAAATTGAAAATCGAAATTTCAGAAAATTTTCGAAGTTGCAAAATGAATTCAGAAATAATTTCGGAAATGAGAACGAATTTCAGAAAGTGAAAAAAGAATTTCGGAAAGTGAAAAACGAATTTCAGAAAGTGAAAAACGAATTTCAAGAAGTGAAAAACGAATTTCAGAAAGTGAAAAACGAATTTCAAGAAGTGAAAAACGAATTTCAGAAAAGAATTTCCGAAGTGGAAAACAAAGTTCAAAAAGATTTTCGGAATTTGCAAAACGAATTAAAAAAGATTTCGGAATAACGGGAATCTTTCATAATGGGATAAAATCGAAACTTTTCGAAAGAAAAAAAAATTCGGACTTCTCTGCCGCGAAATTTCGAATTTCAAAAAAAAAAAAATCGAAATGTCGGATTCCAAAAAATTTGCGGAATAAATAATGGGAAATCGCAATATTTCGGACCTCCAGCAACGAAGTTTCGGGTTTCAGGAAAGAAAAGCGAACCTTCAGATGCTCCGCTATTGTTGAAAGGAAGAAATAGCGGGAAAACGAATCCAAAACAGAATTTTTTTTTTGATTTCGGCAGTTGGGTCAAAGTTTCGTGATTTGGGGACTAATTAGTATAATCTAATCAATCAATCAATCAATCAATCAATCAATCAATACTCAGTCAATCAATCAATCAATCCGGGATCAACTAATCGATCCAGGATCGATTGATCAATCAATCGATACTCACCCAATGGATTTTGGGTGGTCCCCGCGCGTGCGTCAAATCAGGTTCGTCCTGATTCACATACTGCAGCTCCGATACCAAAACTGATGCATGCCCTGGGGAGCAGTGCGCAGTATACCAAGGACCCACAATGTGATGAAAAGGACTGAGATGGACAATGCTAGATCAGCGCAGCATCCACAAGCAATGTACATCCCATACATACAAGATGGCGSAAATGGCACAGCGGAAGACTTCAAAGAGAATATCTGATCTGACGTGGACTGACCTGACATCCATTACACATCACACATGGGTGAGAGAGGAGGGACCGCAATCATGGAAGGAAGGTCCCTCCATACACACACATGGGGAGAAACCACGAATGAGAGATGGGGGAGGGACAGACGAAAGAGGGGGGGAGGCGAGGGAGTAGACCAAGATCGCAATGACGAAGTCCAAAATAGTCTCTTGCCGAATATCCAAACAATG